ACCCGGTTTCCCGAGGTAGGACGTTATACATACATATTTGTATATATATGAATATATATATATATATATATATATATATATGTATATATATATGTATATATATACAGTGATAATTATCACTGTAGTAATAAATTATAATTTCTAACACACACACATATATATATATATATATATATATATATATATATATATATATATATATTCATCATTGTCATTAACATTCAAGTGTTAATTGTTTATATATTAGTTTATTAGTTTTAATATTATTAAAATGATAATATAATATTATCAATAGTAAGTAATATTATATTAATACACATCTATGTAAATGTCTGCGATATCACTCATTGTACTTCTCAACTCACTTTCCAGCCACGCCACACCACACCACACGCACGCTGACACAGAAAACGTTAATTTTGTATTGATATTTTTAACTTGAATGGCTTTAGAATCTAGACGCAAGGTGGTGAATTAAATGACATTTCAGTGATTTTTGTTCGATTTTGAGAGAGGATTTTTCAGAAGTTGAAAGAAGTTTGTAATAATGGTGAGGTATCTGTTAAATTTATTTTAAAATAATGAGAACCTCTGTATTCCTTCCTGACACTGCTGCATGCAGGCACAATTTTGGAATTAGTAAAAAAGAAGATTCCAGCAATTGACTTGGAAAACGAAAACACAGCTCGAAAGAACAATGATTCTTTGTGGAATAATAGGTTACATAAAACTTCCTGCTGATAGAAGGAAGTTAGTAGACAATCCATATAATGGATGGATGACTTCATATAATGATCTGGATTCAGAGTGTGTTTGAAGCAGATCACCAAGCATAACTTATAATTTGTAGTTATACCAATTGAACTGCATTGTAGACTATAATGTGGATATTGTTTGAATTTCAAATTGTAAAACGTGCTTTAGTAGAGATCAATTTTAGGCGCATCTAACTTGAAGTAATGAAAATCGCCGTTTTTAAGTTTTGAATTGCGACAATTCGCTCTTCCCATCTATGTAATTTTATTAGTATTTAAAATGTTTAATTCGCTTTTACGATATGGTTAACAAATATTTTCATTTTTTTTACCATATAAATATTTTACAATAATTACCTCAAATAAATAAATAAAAATGTTTTGCCGCCATATACTGTTTTCCTTTAATGACAATCCCACTTATAAGGTAATGTATTTGAATTGTTTATTTTTAACACAATATGTTGCTGCAGACATAACCACTGACGTAACAATCAATTTAGCAACTCATTCTCTACTAAAATTCATTCATTTGCACATAGGAAAAGTTTGAAGCTCAAGTTAAAATAAGTTAACACTCTACTTATCGTGAAATTGTCCACATTATTACTAAGAATACAATAATAATATACTAATAATGATGGTTGTTAATTATTACTCAAAGGGTTAATATTTCATAAACATTGAATTTTGTACGATTTCGTAAACTTTAGTTTTCAATTTTACTTGTGTTGCATCAGCTTATGTAATAATAATAATAATAATAATAATAATAATAATAATAATAGAAAAATATAACAGTTTTATTTTTGTGATTTTTTTTTTCATTGAATTATTTCAAATACCGATTGTGTTTGTTGAAGAGACAAGTATTTTATTTTATTTCTATTATTACTATTATTATAGTTTGTATGAATAGAAGTTTAATAATTAATTACCCCTTGGTTGAGTTGCTGCTGCACTGATGTTTGAATAAGAAAATTTAAATTAATAAATCAATAAAAACTTCTCTTCCCCTAATTTGTTTTGTTTTCTTCATAAAAGTCATGAACGAAACAATCAAAAAACCATCCTATTTTTGCAGTTTGTGTGACTGAATCTTAAGCTATATCACCAATGATCGAATAAATATTTACAGTTTTGAATGAAGGTTTAAAAAAAATGTGAATTTCAGAACTGATTAGTGAAACTTTTTACAAAAAATTACATGTCGGGTGTAGTTATCGTTGTGTTAGTCAGTTTTCCAGACATGTGCACATTCACAGCATCTGTAGAATACTGTAGTGGGCTCGTCTGCCGATTTTGTCTGGAGTTCCATGTAGAATGCTCGAGTGTGCTCACATGACGGGCAGGTTTCTGGCAAGCATTAAGAAATTATGTTGATGAATTATATAAACAACATTTACAAATAAATATTTGTTTGAAGTCAACATATTAAAAAATTTAATTATTATCATCCGTTAGGATATGTGTATGTGTGTGAAATGGTCGTTATTTATAAGAATATATAACAAGTTATGTGTTAATTCACAATTACGCTATGCATTATACGATTATATATGAGAAAATAAATAAGTGACGTGATAGAGTAAATAATGGTTAAATACATGAATAAATGAATAAACAATTGAATGAATGAATAAAATTTAAGTTACCATTTGTTGCCTGAGCATTCTTCCAAGCATCAGGTCCGCCTAGGGCGTCTTCAACGTCTTTTAATTTTGTGTACTTTTTAAATGTGATCTATAAATAAAAAAAAATTTTTTACATTCCAACATAATTGAGAAAATTTTTTATTTAATATAATATTATTTAATTTTAATGAAGAATGTTTAAAATTTAATTAAATTTTAAATAAAATAAAAGTATGGTTAAAAAAATAAGACAAAAAATATTATTATATTAATTAAAATGATTAATCATTGAAAATAATAACAAACCTTTTTGACAATCTCGTGGAAAAAGGGACAGGTGAGGCATAAAAGTCTGTTGCGGCCATTTTTCTCGGCAAGGACCAGTGCATTGAAACAGTTGGGACAAAATAACAACATTGTGTAATTTGTAATCGTAATACGTAATGTAATCTTGTGATGTAATGTAACGTAATGTAACTCTAAAACTAAATAAAACCTCACACACACAACGGAAAATTAGAAAGTATAAATACGGACGGCGAAGTTACATCATAGTGTTAAAAATTGAAGCGGTGAAATACAAATGAAATAGAAATAAAAATAATTAAACCTTTATTGTCGCCTAGCAACAAAGAAATCACAAAACAGTCAGATTTTTATGTCGTTGGATTAGTTACTGTTTTGAAGTAATTTGTATTTGGTAAAATTCTGACAATTTCCATTTCAAATATTAAATTAAAGACATCGTTGTTACTGAAATCTAAGTTTTCAAATTTCAGCTGTTTAAAATTGATTCCATTTGTAATGATTTTCATTGAAACATCAAAATATCAGTACTACTACTTCTAAAAAAAATCATTCATAATCGCAAAACAAGGCACCAACAGAGCAGTTTGGACAGAGCACACTCCACAATGGAATGTGATGTTACTACTTTTCACTGTACTACTTACTAGTTCAAAGTCAGCTAAAATCTAAGCACATACACACAAACAAACACACACACGCATAAAACCACAAATATTATTTTAGCATGCACGTATAGTTTATATAAGATGTACATTATTTTCGTAGATAAATTAATAAACTAATTGATCGTTTGGTTGATACATCGACAACAACGATGATTAACAAGGATATCTGGATAAATCATGGATATATATATCCATTGGATAGATGGATGATAACAAGCTAGATATCTACAAAAAGATACAGGACATATAGCATCCAAAACATGATAGTATCTACAACACATATAGATTAAAATAGAATGTAATATATATATGTAGATATAATATAATATAATATGATATAAATAATAAATATACATATATATGTATGTATGTAAAATATAATAGTATAGAAAATAGAATCTACGTGTGCAGAAAGGTAAGTAGTCTTCCTAATCGAATCCACTTTTACAATAATTTATACGAATAGCAATCCGGGTAAACAAAAGCAACTGAGAAGATTACCTTTCGAAATATTTCGTTGGTTTTTCATTTCAAAAAGTTTCCCCCGCCAGATGACAGAGTTATCATTTTCAGTTTTTCCAACAGTTTGAATTTTGTTATTTAATCATTATTAATTGAAACTCACACACTTACACACAGTCATGTATATATATACATACAGATACAAGCTAATACGTAGGTACACATACTGCATAATCACACAGACTATACAACACTATATAGAGAGAGACAGATACAAAAACATACTGCATAGAGACACATAAGAATACAACATACACACGTACACATGCAACATTCACACACACACACACACACAATGATCATAAATAAAAGTTATAACTTTTTACTTTCATTGTTATTATTTAATTTTTTAAATTAAAACGTTTTTAAATTGCAGAAATTTTGAGAATAGAGAACTGAAAACCGTCACCTTTAATGTACTTGATAAAGGATTAGGTCTGGTTGGATCATAATATTAAAAATTATAATATTAATAATAATATTATTCTATAATATAATATAATGTAATGTAATATATAATAATAATGGTGATGATGATGGCCTTGTTGGGGACAATGATGACGATCATGATGACGATTGTGATGATGATGATGATGATGATGGTGACGATAATGACGACGATGATGAATATGATGTTGATGGTTGCTAATAATAATAATAATAATAATAATAATAATAATAATAATAAACAGAATAATAACATTTCTTATAGGCATATGCGTAATTGGTGGAGAAGAGGGATTGTTGGAAGAGGGTCAGAAAGTGCCTGGAATCTTTATAAAGAGTATTGTCGATGGGGGTCTTGCATTTCAAGATGGTGGTTCATCTTTTTTTTTTAATTTATTTTTTTCTTCTTTTGTTTGTCATAACTTGATAAATTAGTCATCTATTTATTTTATTTAATGATATTTAATTGTTTTTTTTAACTTTTTTATTTTTAATAAATATTCCATTAATTTCTTCTAGGTCGTTTGCAAGAAGGTGATCAGATCGCCAGCGTCAATGGAATCAGTCTGCTAGAGGAAACTAACGAAAAGTCATTAAATTTATTTTCCATTTTATAAAATTAATTACTGAATATTTTCAAATTTGTTTTTACAAAACAGATACTAAGTTATAACTGGATTTTCAACATTGTTGAGTTTGTGACTAAGTTTTACATATATATATTTATTAAAAAACCAAGAAAGACGTATATGAATAAATTATTTGTTGAAGGGCGGTTCAATTGTTGAGAAAATGTTCAGAGGAGGGCTTCGTACAACTGAAAATATGTAGGGATGATAAATCTAGGTAGGTTTTATGGTACTGCTGATGATAATGATTATGAAGATGATGAGGATGATGATGAAAGTTATGATGATAGTGATGACAACGGCAGTGGTGATAATCACGATAAAGATTATGATACTGATGATGATGACGATGATGAAGTTGTTGTATGTAGATGACGATGTTCTGGCATTGAATGCTAATTAGGGCAGTTAAAATGTTGTCTGTTCGGGTGATCTAGGTGGGTGGAGTGCAGCTGGATGATGATTTTAAGGATGATGATGATGATGATGATGACGATGATGGTGATGATGATGTGGTGATGGTGATGACATCAGTAAACATTGTAATCATCAGGGTTATATGTAGGCAAGCATTCTGTTTGGTTAGATTTTTTTAAATGTTGTTGTCTGTTGAACCTTCTAATGAGAGAGTGAACGAACAAACGTTTGAATGAAAGAATGAGTAAAAAAATGAACGAACAAATAAATAAATTAATGTATTTAATGAATGAATGAATGATCAAACAAATGAATAAATGAATGAATTAACGAACGATGAAAAGAATAAGATATAAGAATAAGAATAAAAGAATTGCAAACGAACTAGTGAACAGACGGATGAACGAACGAACAAATGAATGAAAGATTTGATCAGTCAATCATTTAATCAATCAACCAACCAATCAATCAGCTATTCAATCAACCAATCAATCAACCAGTCAAGACTACAAAGACCTAGGTGAGTTGTACATATTTTCCAGAGCCAGCTCACCCACTCTTCATGACAGCTACAACAACAGCACAAAAACAAAAAACAACAGTAAGTAATAATAAAAATAATAATAATAATTATTATTATTATTATTATTGAAAAAACTCCAATCAGGAAAGGAGATTAACCAGACAACAAAACCAAGCGAGAATGTCAACCACAACTACGACAGCTTTTCAAACAACGACAGCCACGAGCATGTTGACACCAGCCACAAGTTAGCAGCCGTCAACGACCACAACTACAAATCAACCAACCACAGCAGCCCCGGTAACCTCAACCTATCAACCAACAACTACCTCACTAGCACACCAACCAATCACAGAAACCCGTCAACAACGAAAACCAGCGACAACCATTTTAACAGCAACCACAACAGCCACATCAGCCACAACTTATCAACCACCAGTAACAACAGTCACTACACCAGCAACATATCAATCGATCCTTTTGTGAGACTAAAGATCGAAAGATTAAAACAGGTACCTAATGATTAAAATAAATTTTAAAATACTTTTTTTTATTTTAATAATTTGCTAATTTAAATTGTAAAAATATTTTTAAACTTAAATAAATAAAATTTATAAAAAAAATTATGATTTCATTTTTAAAAGTCATTGAAGTTTCTTGGCCTGCACCCGAGCGAGGCCGAAGAGGAAGAGATGAGGAACCGTTTGTCTATAGACGAGACCGGAACGGTTGCATACGGAGGTTAAAGAGAAAAATTTTCTCTTTACAAATTTCTCGGAGTTGTTTTTAAAAAGTTTGTTCGTGTTATGAACATGTTAACTAGTTAGCTCAGAGACGGTTAAGTGTTTTGATTGATTTTTGGTGTTGTTGTTGTTGTTGCTGCTGCTGTTGTGTTGTGGTTATGGTTGTTGTTTATGTTGTTGCTGTTGCTGCTGATATTGTGGTTAGGGTTGTTATAGTTGTTGCAAGATGATAACCTGCCTCGAATGACGTTCGTTCGAGTCTGAAACTCAAACAATTATAGATTATAATTGGTTATAAATTAAAATTATAATTATAGATATGCCTTTATCAATTATGAAAATTTTAATTCATTCGTGTATTCATTCACCCATTCATTCATTCGTTGTTTTTATTTTTTTGACTCTTTTCTCTGGAGGTCTTTACATCCTTCTCTAACTATTAATACTTCTCCATCACTTGCAAAGTTCAGAGCGGATCTCAAGACCCATCTGATTTGATTATAAGTTCATTGATGAGCGTTGTTGAACAAACTAATTGATTGATCAAATGGTTCATTGATTCATTCATTCATAAATTCATTCCATTCATTCATTTATTCATTCGTTCATTCATATTTTTATTTATATACCATCCCACTGAAACAGAATTTGTTAAGTTAGCAAGAGAAATGTTTCTGAGTGGTCACCATCATCATCATCATCTTGATCATCATCATCATCATCATCATCATGACGACACTGGACGTGTTAGTAGAGAGGATTGGAAAACTTTAATCTTATGATAAGAATGATGGTGATGGTGATGATGATGGTGATGATGATGGTGATGATGATGGTGATGATGATGGTGATGATGATGGTGATGATGATAATTATGATGAGGGTGGTGATGATAATGACGACATTGATGATGATAGTTATATGGGGATTTTGATGACGATGATGATGACGATGATTGATTCATATCAACAGCATCATCATCGTCACCATCAAAATTGGTCATCAGAATGTTGATAAAAAATTTTAAAACGTACTTCATGCTAACATTTTTAGATTGTAACCGACAGCACCTTAAGAAATAAACAACTTGTTAAAGAAAATCAGGATTTAAGGGTTAATTTTTTATTCTTTTATTCATTCATTCAGTTTTTTATTCATTTGTTCATTAATTCATTAATTCATTTATTCATTCATCATTCATTAGTTTGTTCATTCATTCGTTCATTCATTCATTCATTCATTCATTCATTCATTTATTCATTCATTCATTCATTCATTCATTCATTCGTTCGTTCATTCATTCATTCACTCATTCACTCACTCATTCACTCACTCATTCACTCACTCATTCACTCACTCATTCAATCAGACAATGATCACACAGAAAGATGGAACAATAACAGCATTGGAGAGGGAGATAACCAGATATAAGAATGTTTGTTCATGAACATCATCATTATTATCATCATCATCATTATAATGATCATCGTCGTTATCATCATCATAACCATTATCATCACTATCATCATCATCGCTGTTATTATCATCAGCATCAAGATTTTATTCTTCTTATTATTTTAATGCCTGCCTCAACCAGCTTTACAATCATCCTTCTTCTTATCCATAAACATTTCATAACTTCA